CCATAGGTCGAGTAGACTGGACGAGGTACGAGAAGTTTCCTGTTCAACCTCAATCATTATATTGGCACTGAAATCGGCGACGAAGTCGGCGAGTGCCTGCGATTTTATCGCTGTTTTGCGGCTGATATGTTATATCATGATCGCTCAATTCTATGGCCTATTTGGCCAATATCCCCGATAGCTCGGGTTTATGCAGGATACCTCATAGGGGAAAGGTCGTTACCACCGATATGGGGTGGCATTAAAAATAGGGTCTAAGCTTTCGTGAAGCTATAACCAATGCCAAGGCCAATTTTTCGAAGTGAGGGTACCTCATTTCAGCGTCGACGAAAGTTTTGATAATATAATAGATCGGATATTGCGTATCTTTATCTTCGCAGACTAATACTGCGCTTATCGCGACCTCTGATATGGCCAAGTATATCAGGAGGCGTTCATCGGGTTCTGCTTTGGCGAGTAGCGAGGGCGAAGACAAGTACGCCTTTAGTTCTCTTAGGGCCTCAATGCATTCTGCATTCCATTGGAGCCCGTTGTCCTTTTTGAGCACATTAAAGAATCTGTGGCATTTGTCAAAAGATCGTGAGATGAACCTCGACATGGCAGCTATGCGGCCCGTCAATTTTTTCACCTGTTTCTTGTTGGTTAACACTTCGGGTATTCCCTCAATGGTCTTGATTTGGTCGGGGTTGACCTCGATGCCTCTTTGTGACACCAAGAAACCAAGGAACTTTCCTGAAGTTACTCCGAAGGCACATTTTTCGGGGTTCAGCTTCAAGTCGTATTGCCTTAGTATTCTGAAGGCTTCTTTCAGGTGGTCGATGTGATCTTCCTTCCTTTTCGATTTGACCAACACGTCATTTATGTAAACTTCCATACTTTTGTCGAGTTGGTCCTTCAACATTTTGGTTACCAATCTTTGATAAGTCGCCCCTGCGTTCTTTAAGCCAAATGGCATGACTCGATAACAGTACGTTCCTTGATGGGTGATGAAAGTAGTCTTCTCCTGGTCCTCTTTCTCCATGAGGATTTGGTTGTAACCTGAGTAGGCATCCAAGAACCTCAACAACTCGTGCCCTGCTGTTGCGTCAATGAGTTGATCGATATGAGGCAAGGGAAAGGAGTTTTTCGGGCAGGCCTTGTTTAGGTCCGTGAAATCCACGCACATCCGCCACTTCCCGTTTTTCTTTTTTACCATGACTACATTGGCGAGCCATTGAGGGTATTTTGATTCTCGGATGGATCCGTTAGCGAGTAGTTTATCCACTTCCTCGCTGATGGCCTCGTTGATTGCGGCATTGAATTTTCTTCTTACTTGTCATACTGGGGGGTAGAAGGGATCGATGTTCAACTTGTGTGTGGAAATGTCTTTCGGAATACCTGGCATATCTGCGTGGGAAAAAGCAAACAGATCGGCATTATTAATTAAAAACGTATAAAATTTACCTAGCTCGGAGAGCTTATGGCCTATATAAGCCTTTTTGCTGCTGTTTAGTTGGATGGGATCAAGATCTTCTATTGTTGATCCCGCGGCTTTCACGACGTCGGGGTCCTTGATAACGTCTTTCTGATCGTTGAGTTTGGACCCCGACTTTGATAATTGCTATGCTTTTGAGTTTGTTCCTTTTAGTTGTTTAGTGAATGTACAATCTTGGGCGATGCGGTAGCGTTCTTGGGTTGTGCGTTGTTCGCCTCGGATGTTGAATATCCCCCACGAAGTAGGGAATTTGATTGCTTGATACAAGCTGGACGGGATAGCCCTCATGGCGTCTATCCATGGTCGTCCTATGATTGCGTTGTAAGTTGTGTCCTGGTTCATGACATGGAACGTTGTTTCTAGGGTGACGCCCCCGGCCAGAATGGGCAGCGTTATTTCTTTTGAGGTTTGCTCGACTGCATTGTTAAAACCTGTAAGTGTTATGCAGCGTGGTACTATCTTGTCCTCGAGTAGCATTTGCGCAAGAACTCGAGGGTGAATAATACACGCGCCACTTCCATCTTCTACCATTATTCTTTTTACATCAGTATCTGAAATACGTAAAGTAATGACAAGAGCATCGGAGTGAGGAAAAATCAAACCATTCGTATCTGACTTATCGAAGATGATACTTTCTCCGAGGTCATCATACCATTCGTGGGTGATTAACCTGTTCAGTTTGTGTGTGGTGGTAAACTTTATGTGGTTGATTGCTGCTTTGTTGCCTCCACCGATGATCATTTGAATGGTGCAGGAAGAGGAGGGCGGCTTTGGTGGGCCTTGGTGTTGTTCTCTTCCGCGGCCGAGATTGGCTCTTCCTCGGTCGCTCATCAGCTCCTTTAGGTGCCCTTGGTGGAGCATGTTCACTACCTCTTGCTGTGGGGATATGCAGTCCTCAATTTTGTGACCTCGCTCCTGATGAATTCACAGAGGATGTTCGACTTTCGGGTACTTGGGTCAGATTTCATCTTCTGCGGCCACTTCACCTTCGGGTCGAGCTTCTCTAGTGCGTACACTATCTTTGAAGGGGAAACACAAAAATTGTGAGCAGATAAGAGCGGGGGCATACCTCTTTCATTTCGCTGAGTCCCTGTATGCGGGCTGGACGGTCCTTCCGCATGGCGAGGAGATGGTAGGACGGCTGTTCTTGCATAAGGTTGGTAACTGTCTCGGTTGAGGCAGGTCCTGACTGATCTCTCCGACCATCACTACGACGGTCTTTCCTCGGCTCTGTTTGAACTGATGTTAACCGTTGTATCGGACCGTTAAGGTCGTCTTCGTCCTCTCTCACCTCGGCGCAGTAGGCGTTGTGAATTTCTTCCCAAGTGGTGGGAGGGTATTTCATGAGTCTGTTTAATAGTTTTGTTTTCTTGTCGCTCTTGACCCATTCCTGTTCAACCCGTTCTGGAAAGCTGCCACCGCCATCCCTTCCGATACATTTGGTAAGCTCATACTTACCCTGTTAAACCGGGCTAAAAACTCCCTGAGTCTCTCACCAGGCGATTGCCTAACGGCAAATATATCATTTACCCTAGCTTCCGCTTTCTTAGCCCCGGCGTGGGCGGTGACGAACTTGTCGGTCATTTCCTCGAACGTTGTTATAGATCGTGCTGGTAATTGTGAGTACCAAGTTAAGGCTCCCCCGGTTAAGGTCTTGCCGAACTTTTTTAGTAACACTGACGGTACTTGCTCCTTTGAGAGGTCGTTACCCTTTACTACTGTGACGTAGTGAATGATGTGATCTTCGGGATCCGTCGTGCCGTCATATATCTTCAAGTATGGTGGCATCTTGAAGGTTTTGGGTATGGCATGTGGGGATGCCTCTTCGCTGTATGGTTGTTCGACGAATCGGCCGACGTCCCGTTTTGGTAGCAGTTTTGGGGCGCCTGGTATTTTATCGACCCTTTCTTGATGTTCTCTCTTCTGGTCGCGGAGCTCCTTGTTCTCGTTTTCTATTTCTTCCATTTTCTTCAGAATGGATGCAAGTGTATCGTTACCTGCATCAACAGCGATGGGAGTGTTACCTGTTGGAGGAGCGGGTTGCTCGTCGGCGATCGATGTGGTATCCGTCTGTATGACGTCTCTATTCGCCCGCTGAGAGGGTTTGTCGAGTATGTTATTTAGAGTGCTGGTCAGCCACTCTTCAATAATTTCTTCACTGCCGGTGGTGCTTCCTCAGCTGTGGACGTGGAAGCTCCCCTTTTGCGCGAAGCGGTTACACTTCCATGAGGGGGAGGTGAATCACTCCGCCTCGGTGTAGCACTCGGTGTCTCATTCTCCTCGTCTCCTCTGTCATCCTCGTTGATAGTGTTTAAGATGTTGGTAGTGACACCTATTATTGGTTTCTGTCTTTCATCTCCTTTCCCTGCCATTGTTCGTTTGTGCAGACGAGAAAAAGGTGGCTGTCCTTTATGATCTAAAAAAACTAAATAACCCCCCACAGACGGCGCCAAATTGTTTGACCAAAAAGTATTAAACCTTTTTGTTAAACTAATTAATGATGAAATGAAGGATGAATCTTAGTTAAAATAATAAATTCTAGATCATAAATTGTAGGAAATCGGTCAGATGAACGACGTTTGACAGTGTTAAATAGCACGTTTGTACTCAATGAATGCTAATAAATATGATAATCTAAACATGCAATAAATGTAGATAATAGCAATAAATGTCATAAGAAAGAATCTATCACCCAATTATTATATGATTTGGATAGTTCTTTCTCCTGACAGCAACGTGGAAAGAAGAAAAGTGAAGATGGTTATGGAATCTTTGGATCTTGTGAACAAAGATCAAATAGCGCGTACTTGAATAAGATAATCAACGAACAAGACAACTTTTGTATATTTTCTCAAGTCAACCTTTTACAATGTGGTTTTATCGGAAGGTAAAGATCTCTTTTGTTCTTTCTCTCTTTCTATTTATTAAAGGTATTTCCAAGAAACCTTAAAAAGTACGAAATAAGGAATATGCCTATTTTTAATCTATCTTGCCATTATCTCTTTATTCCACCTACTCGTCTGACAATAAGCTTCGTGAGCACGGCCTCCCACTATTGCCTCGTGGTCGTCCTCATCGTCGATCTTGTTTATCTGCCGTTACCCGGTCACCAAATTTAGACCAATACATAAGTCATCTTGTTAAATTTCACTGTCATATCGAAAGAAAAGGAAAACGTGGAAAGCAAAGTTCAATTTGACTACTAAAAATTAGTAGGAAATCAGAGTTCAAATTGAATTGCAAAAAGTGAGTTGAGAAAAGCTTGCTTTTCGCATCAGTGGTATAGAGACACATACTAATTCACTTGATTTGCTAGTGTAATCAACTTCCGAGCAATTTCTCAGCTTAATTCTATTAATCGTAAAAGCTATAGAAGCCCGTCAATAACCAACCTCATACATTTTCCAGTATGTTGACACTCGTCCTTTCCTTGTCTTCATTATTTATATACTAGTAGTTGTTTTAGACGTAGTGGCTTACGTATTTAAAAATTTAGATAAGACTGCAGCCATCTGTGACAATATATAAAAATGTCCAAGTTTGGCTCAGAAACATCACTTCACCGCATAAGTTAGAAGTTACGGATCTATCTGAAGAAAGAGAGTTATGGGTTGGAGAGGGATATTGGGATTTGAGTATGGTATAGTGCAAGCACCCTTAGGACCAGATATATCAGGTCCAGAGCTTGTTGCTGCTGTTGCTAATGCTGGTGCTCTTGGTCTTCTTAGAGCTCCTGATTGGGTGATGTCTCCTACACTTCCTTCGGATTTAGCTAGATTTAGTTGAAACTTGAAAAAATAATTTTTGAAGTAGTTTTGAAAAATAAATTTTGGAAGTTGAAATTATGTTTGGACATGCATTTTATTTGAAAAAAATTTGAAGTTTTGTGAGCGGGAGAACAAGTTTCACCCAAAAACTATCCTAAACTAGATTTTGGGAACTTGAAAAATAATTTCAGAAATTTTTCAAAAATAGATCATTAATCTATGAACAAATAATGTTTTCATAAAAGATTTGAAAAAAAATTGCCAAAATCTATGGCCAAACGGGAACTTAATCTGTTGGTCGGGTAAAGGAACATTTACATTATTAATGTAATTTATTTTATATTATACCTGTTAATTTACCTTATTTTTCAAGTTACTAATCCATTATTTATATACTTAGTTTTTAGGGGACCCTATAGTGTACATATTTTATTTTATGTTGTCAATCTATGTAATAGAGCCTTATGGCCCGGCCCTTCCTTGGACCCGCGCATAGCGGGAGCTTAGTGCACTGGGCTGCCCTCTTTTAATGTATAGAAGTTAAACTCCTATATGTATCCTATCAGAAACAGACTACTGAATACCTTTTAAATATCAGATTCATTACTACTATTCATCAAAACCTCAGGTTGTTTTATGCTTTAACTAGTTAAATTCCTCTTGATGTTATAAATTGTAAGTGTATAATAGTGGAATGCTTAATTTTAATCTCTATAACCAATCCCCGGATTAAAGAAAAAAGGAAAATATAAGCAACAGAAGTTGTAGGGTGAACTCATTTTACAGGTCAAAGTGACAGTTGACTTGCAATTATATACCTGGTTCAGTTATTGGCTGTCTTTTGTTTTGATGAGTCTTTGATTAGACACAAGTCCAAGAGGAATGTAACATTGTACTTTTGTGTGACAGGAAGATCCTGATTATGTGAGGGAGCTCATAAGGAAAACAAGAACCTTGACTAGCAAACCATTTGGGATAGGTGTAGTTCTTGCATTTCCTCACAAGGAAAATTTAAAGGCTATATTGGATGAGAAGGTTGCAGTATTACAGCTTTATTGGGGTGAATGCTCAAAAGAGTTGGTTCTTGAAGCTCATAATGCTGGGGTCGAGGTTGTACCCCAAGTAAGTTGTAAACACAAATCTTTTTTAACTTTCAACACTTTGTTGTTGGAATCACAAAACTTGATGAATTCTTTACCATTAGTGGCACTACAAAATGATCGATCCTTGTGTGGATTTTCTTTAACCGGATAAGAGTTGGAATTTCACAAGGTAGTGGTAAGGTCTGCGTACACATTATCCTCCCCAGACCCCACTTGTGGGACCGCTCCGGGTATGTTGTTGTTGGATAAGAGTTGGGATTAGCTTTAAACTTCTCTATACTGCTCCGAAACTTTTACTCTGCTTGCTCTAGTTAAATGTACCTCAGAATGAAGGTAACTCTTCACCAAAACAATACACAAATTCTAAGAGATGACTTGATGTGCGACGCAAGTACAAGAAGTTCAAATCAATTATATCCATCTTAGTTTTATTTAAGTAGCCTATACTAGACTACTTGTTGCTTTAGATTTAGAGTCGGTGCATGTGTAAAAGAATAGAAGTTTACCCTAATCTATTGTTTTCTGAAATGTAGCTTATAAAACTATTTTCGTGTTTTTTTTAAAGATTGGGAGCTATGAAGAAGCAAAGAAAGCTGCAGAAGCTGGTGTAGATGCAATTATTGTCCAAGGTAGGGAAGCAGGAGGCCATGTTGCTGGCCAGGTATAATGGTGATGACATTCATGAGATGCATTAGTTTTTTATCAAGATAATGATACTAGTTCTGAATTTTTCATTTAAAACCCCCACCTTCGTGCTTGTGCAGATTTCACCTTTTATTACATTATATGTAAGATTACTATTGAATACTAATATATCACCTACTTGGCTGAATTCCTTTTAGGATGGTTTAATTACCTTATTGCCTAGAGTTGTCGATCTTGTTCGTGGTGATGACATTGCAGTAATTGCTGCTGGAGGAATTGTCGATGAGCGTGGTTATGTTGCTGCACTGGCCCTTGGCGCACAGGGTGTGTCATTAGGCACTAGGTATTGAACGTTAACTTCGAACATTTTAAGGTGTTTAATCTGTCATCAGTACCAGCTTCCAGTTTGATCTATATCCTGTTGTTCAGGCTGATCTACTGCTCTTTAGAAGTAGGTCTCCCTTTTAAACTTCTTATACCTTTTCAGGTTTCTCGCAACAGAGGAAAGCTATGCGCACCCAACATACAAGAGGAAGCTCATTGAATTTGAGCAAACAGAATACACAGACTTATTTGGTCGCGCAAGATGGCCAGGGGCACCACATCGCGTTCTGGCAACCCCGTTCTTCAAGGAATGGAAAGCGCTCCCAAGTCATGAGAATGAGACAAATCAACCTGTCATTGGCCGCACAATCATACACGGCAGGGTGAATATCCTGCTATATTCTTCCTAATAAAAAACTTGAAAATGTTCTGTCATGTCAATCTCCACTCTGTGATCAGCCTTCTTACCTTTTAAGTACAAAGAATTAGAATGTTATTAACTTACTAGTTCTCCATTTGCATTTATTTTATGAGTGGATTTCTTGTATCTATACCTTGTTCTTAAGAATGTAGTTAGTTTCTTATTCTTTCTTGAACAGGAAAGAGAGGTTCGTCGTTTTGCTGGTACAGTTCCAAATGCCTCAACTACTGGAGATATCGAAAGCATGGCGATGTATGCTGGTCAGAGCATTGGTCTTATAAAGGAAATTCTACCTGCAGGTGAAGTGATAATGAGGATAGTTGAAGGGGCTCAACGACTGATTGATCAACAATTTGCGCCCATGAATTAAGTCAGCAGGACCAAACAACTAGGTACTATATTCATTTTCTTGCCTATGTCCTGGTTTGTAAACCATAAGTTGAATTGATCGCACATTATGTGCCAAGAATGCATTCACATGAAGTTCAGAAAGGAAAAACATGAAAAAGAAAATTGTACATGAATAAAGATTGGAGTTATAGAGGTGGAAATAAGATGATGTGTTGTACTACCCCTCCAGTTTGCTGTTTGTTTACTTGATACTTGCTTGTATCCTCATACTTTTAGGTTTGACCTTTTTCTTGTTCATTTTTGAGTTAAGCAATATATCTACTAATGAACTGAATTCTTGGACAGAAGTACATCCTTCACTAATTTATCTAAATTCAAGGTTGATGAACCCACTAATCCAGTTGCCAATTTTTTCCAATCACTCGCCTTCTTCTTCACCTTCTTACCTTTTTCTCCATCCATAACTTCCCTCACAATGTTCTCCACTTCATTTCTGTTCACATTCTTGCCAATTTCCAAGCCAACACCCCATTCACAGCATACATACCTGTACATGAAAATGATGAAATCTTTTATTTTGAATTCTTCCTCCTTTCTTAATTTTGTTATTAAGTGGTACTAGACCAACAAGGGACAGAAACTACTAGAAAAGTCCCTATATGTGTAATATGATGCATATACAATATACATAATACTCCTCCCTCCCAATTTATGTGACGACATGAAAGAAAAACTATTGAAATTTATTGTTTAAAACATGCCATTGATATTGTTGTAGCTATAAACTCATGTCATTAAAAGGGCAATCCGGTGCACAAGGCATCTCGCGTTCACGCAGGGTCCGGGGAAGGGCCGCACCCCAAAAGATGTGATGTAGACAGCCTACTCTAATGCAAGCATTAGTGGCTGCTTCCGCAGCTCGAACCAGTGACCTATAGGTCACATAGAGACAACTTTACTATTACTCCAAGGCTCCCCACTATAAAATCATGTCATTAAGGATAAAAAAAAAATGTTCAAAGTTTAATTTTTTCTAATTATATAATTAAGTTATATAACTTTTAGGACACGCTAAATAAAGGCGTGTCACATAAAATAAAACATAGGAAGTATTATCTTTTGAAACAAATAAAAAAACAAACAAAAAATGAATACCTGCAGTTTATGTGCTGATCAGCAAAAAATGGCCAACAAATCATAGGAACACCAATTCCTATACTTTCCATCACTGAATTCCATCCACAATGAGTCAAAAATGCACCAATTGATGAATGTTTCAACACTTGTTCTTGACAACACCATCTTGAAATTAGCCCTCTTTCTTTAGTTTCTTCAACAAAATCATTTGGTAATATAGCAGAATCATCACCAACAACTGCATCAGATCTAATTACCCAGAAAAAGTTTTTCTTACTATTAGCAAGTCCCCATGCAAATTCCATAAGTTGGTTTTTTGTCAATACTGTTATGCTACCAAAATTTACATAAACCACTGATTTTTCCTCCTTTGAATTTAACCACTGGATACAATCCTCATCTTCTTTCCATAAATTGGCTCTAAGGAATTTTAGACTATTTTCTGGAAGTTGATCAGTGAGCAAATGAAGAGGTCCAATTGTATAAAGTGGAGGACAAATTAAGGATAAATCTCTTAAGACATTAAATTCGAGTGAATCAAAAGTGTGAAAAATAATAGCTGATGCTTTTGAAGCTCCTTCAGTTTCTCCCATTATGAAATTCAGCAATTTGTCATTTATATCTGTGGTTCTGATTTGGCTTGGAAATTCCCTTAGGCGAAGATTTTTCATACTTGGTATACAATCTATAACCGTGTCCAAATACCCATTTGTTATATCACTTGCATCTGCATAATAACAAGGAAAAAAGAATTACATAAATACTTCAATAATTTATGCATATTACAAGAAGATGAAATTGGACAACTTATTTCTACAAAAGGATTCTTTTTTTTTTTTTTTTTTGTGGTTATCTCGCGCTTAATGTGATAATTTTAAAAGTCGTTGCTTTGATTATTGGACTAAATTAATAAGATGACAATAATTAACAAAAAGTGATAAGCTACCTACATGGAAATTTTGGCTTTACTTCAATTAAAGAACTACTGTAACGAATAGAGACAGATTTAGGATTTTTAAAAATGGATGTACCACTAAAGAAAAAAATATTAAGCAGGAATTGATCCATGTTCTTCTAAATAAATAATATAGCATTCAACCAAGTGCAACAACTATATTAGATTAATTATACAAAATATGTACATAAAATACCTAATTTGACGGAGACATCATGAGTTCAACGCCTCATATTTCAGGCAGTAAATCCACCCTTGGTGACGAATATTAGACTTAATATAAGTAGTTACATAATATTATAGATCAATTTAAATTTTAACAATATGGCTTAAAAAAGTTGTACACTGTCGTGCAAGGAACTTAGGGCTCGTTTGGTATGAGATAAGGAATATTTAATTCCGGGACTAAAATCCCATGTTTGGTTAGTAGAAAATTACGGTAGAATCAATGCCGGAATTAGTTATTCCGAAATTGTAGTGTTTTTTTTATCCCCATGAAAAGGTGGAATAACTAATCCAGGATAACTAATTCCGGGATAATTAGGCCAGGGATAACTTCTTTCCAACCAAACGACCTTTTACGGTTACACATAATGACAAGAAGATAAAGATTCAAAATTTCAAGATTTCTAACCTTTCAGAGGGAGAATTCCTTTTTCAATGAGAAGAGGCAAGTGTTTATTGCACATAAAACTGCAAGCATTTGTAGTTCTGAAGCAAACACTAGGAACACCAATTTCTTGAGCAGCCAAAACAGCAAATGTCATAATTCCATCAAAAATTATGCAAGTGACAGGAGGAACATCATTAGATGAGTTAATCTTGATTAAAAGCTCTTTAAATGGAGCTAAACAATTTTCCTTTGTAGAGAAACAAAGAGAAGGAATATGTTGAGTAGTATCAGCATCAATTGGAGGAAGTCCATCTGGGATTGTTTCAAAGACAAAATCTTGAAAACCTTTAAGAGAAGAAGGGCCTCTTGATTTGAGCAATCTCTTGTGATTATATTCAGAGTTGACAAATGTTATGTGAAATCCTTTGGAGTGAAGAAGTATGGAAATTTTTAGCATAGGATTTATGTGGCCTTGTGATGGAAATGGTATGCACACAGCATGGGGTTTTTGAGCTTTTTTTCCTCTAAGAGAACTCATTTTTCTCTGTTTCTAGTAATGAAATTTGTGGCTTTCTACTTTTCCTGGCTGAATAACTATCTAGATTTTATATAGGTCAGTGTTTCTGTTTGTACTGTTTTTTTTTTTTTTTTTTTTTTTTTGGAACAAGTAATACGAAATAAAATTAAGATAGTCGTAGAAAAATGACTTTTGCTTTTTTCATCTTTCGATAGAAAAATATTTTCAATTTCTAATTAACTAAATACACGAAAATATATCATCGAAAACATTTACCTATAAAATGATTTTCCTCGCGCTAATAGCAGGGCGGCTCAACCCCAAGGCAGCTAAAGCCATTACTTTAGGCCTCAAATTATATGAGGCAGAGGCATCAAATTTTACTCATAGTATATACTATGTATATATGGTAATAATTGGAGTATTACTTATTACTAATTTAGTAAATCTTTTTGATGAACGATTTACTATCAACTTCGAAAATATTTGGTTGAACTATAACGGATGAAGTCAAAACTACTACTTATTTCAGTCCTCTTATTTACTCGAATTTGAATTAATTTTAACTTTTACGATGATTTCCGCACACACTTTGACCTTATTAGCCCCATATTAATATTTTCGAATTTTTCTTGAAATAGAAGTACTAGAAAGAATTGTATAAGTAGAAGATATTACTCTATAGTTAATATACTCAATTCAAATAAATAAACTTGATTGTTTTTCGCATATCTAATTGCTCATAGAAAGATTTAGACTATTGGTAGTTCCTTTAGCTGAAATATGTTTTTCGAAAATGAAGTTATATCTTAAGAAAATTTAAATAGATTGACTATATTATCAACTAGGAAGAAAATATTAGAAGAGTTTGTTGTAAAAAATAATTAGTATTTTCCAAATATACTGGGTTTGTTGTTTTTAAAATAAGAGCTAGAAGAATAAAAAAAATTAAATATGCATAAAAAAAATTATTTAGCTTTAGCCCTTCTACTCCATTGTGCCACCCTTGACTAACAGACGCGGGTTTATCGACTATCGTGAACAATTAGAACAAGTGAAAGAAACCAAGAGAGTAGACAAAACCAGACGTAAGAGAACTATTTTTGAAATAATTATAACTAGCTGAACTATATTTATATCCAGCCATTTTGTGTTGAACCTTATCAACTAGAAGTATTTCCTCTCACTGATATCACCTGACATTTTGTCACACTTTTGCTCCTACATCTACAATTATAATATGCTATCAAATTTCTAAATGAATGTTCCGGAAAATGGCTCAAAAATATGATTTTTCTTTCTGGTAATATTTTCAACAGATACCTTATGTGATGATGCATTAGGCCAAACCAAACAGAGCCAAAAATCCAGAACAATCATCTTCCGTATTATAATTTGGTTAATTAAATTATTGGGTAAAATTAGCACGAGCTAGCCAATTTTGGGGCTGGTAATTGAAAAATAATCAGTGTTTGCAAAGTCATTGAAAAATAACCACTATTTTGCTGAAACACAGAAAGTTTCAGCATAATATGCTGGGTTATGGGGCACATGCATATAAAATTTCAGCATTTTATGTTGGAACTCCGGCACATGGAAAGTTCCAGTATAATATGCTGGATTATGGAGCTCATATAAAAAATTCGAACTCCAGCATATTATGTTGGAATTTTTTCGGATTTTTAAGGTTGCTTTTGTTCAGATTTTATCTTTACATAAAAAAAATGACTAAATTTCGATTACTTTTGAAACTGTGACTATTTTTTAATTATCAGTTGTACTATTTCTGATTTCGTCCCATTAGCTGGGGAACCGGATGATCCATTCAAGACCTGGCTACTGTCTTTTGCACGTGAGCGATACACCATCATCTTTACTTGCTCTATATTTAAATAATCGAAGATGTTGAAGATTCTATGTTATTTGTCTCCAACAATCTTTGCCTTTTAAAAACCGTGGCTTGTTCCACTTACCCTGAATTGTTGAATCTCCAAAAAAAGGGAAAAGAACATCTGGATATCTTGTAAAAACGTTTCATGTAGATAGTCCACCAACAGGGGTGGTGGCGCAGTTGGCTAGCGCGTAGGTCTCATAGCTTCTGAGTAATCCTGAGGTCGAGAGTTCGAGCCTCTCTCACCCCATTGCCTTTTTCTTTTTGCTTAAAAAGGCTTCACCTTTTCCTTTTGCTATCTCTTCCATTTTTCCCCTAGTATACCTTAATTCTTTTTATTCTAATAAATGGCTATCTTCTTAGTTACCACGAGGCTTTTGCCTTCGATGATGAGGTTGAGATCTGAAAATCACGATATTCAGATCCAATTCTTGCCCATATGTGGGATTCTTCGTCATACATCGTTGCACTTGTAACTAATTCCAAGTAGTTTACTGTTGATAATTCTCACAATATAGTAGTAGGTGGTACTGGAAAGGAAAAGTGGAACAATATAAAAACAAGCTGATAGAGTACCGCCACATGGGGTTGGAGTTGGGGAGAAGTTTGAAGGTAATATGCAGAAATTGGGAAGTAGTGAATGCAAAAGACGAATTGCAATTCAACCTCAAATCAGTTTTGATGGAGAAGCAAATGGTTAAATCTAGAATGAATATTGGAACATCATTATTTGTCCCTCTTGTTCTTTCCCAGCATTTCGCTGGGTGTTGAAATTGTACATTATACATAATCAACCCTCAAAATTGCCTATGACTACAACTATGCTACATAGAATCATTGAGGAACCAAAGCTAATATCGTCGGTGCATGTATGTAGAGCAAACAGCAGAAGTATCTTAAACCCAAAGCACAAGAATATTTTGGAAGAGTATTAAAAGTGAAAACAACTCAGTAGTTGCTTCAGCTACGAGCTATCTCACACTGTTGGGAGTTTTACCCTTGTTTAGATTGGCAAGTTCTTCTATGAGCTTTCTCTCTTCACTGCTCAACCGTTTTGGAATCTCTACTTGCACTCTCACCAATTGATCACCCCTCATATTCGGTTTGCTGAGGTATGGCACCCCTTTTTTGGCCATCACCAATGTCGTCCCTGGCTGAGTACCTGATGGAATTTTTAGATCAACCATCCCATCTACTGTAGGAACCTTCATAGTTGTACCCAGAATCGCATCGATGTAAGAAACTTTGCAATTGTAAAGAATATTGGTGTCGTCCCGTTTTAGTACAGGATCTGGGAGAACTTCAATCATGACAAAAAGATCTCCAGGGGGTCCACCTCTCCTTCCTGCATTACCTTCTGAACGAACCCTTAAACGGCTACCTGAATCTACACCAGGTGGAACTTTCAAACTAATGCGCTTTGACTTCCTCACTCGGCCATCACCATTGCAGGTGCTGCAAGGAGTAGAGATTTCTCCAGTCCCTCCACAAGCAGAGCATGTTGTCACCTGCTGGAAAACACCCAGTGGGGTTCTTGCTGACGAAACAACCTGCCCTTGTCCACCACAAGTATTACATGTCGATGGTTTAGTCCCAGGTTTTGCACCTGATCCATCACAGGTGCCACAAGTTTCAAGCCTGCTTATTTCGATCTCCTTCTCAACACCAAATACAGCGTCTTTGAAATTCAACACCAGATTATAGCCCTGGTCTTCACCTTCGGTGGCCCGGTTCCGTGAACCTCTGCCTCCCATACCCATGCCACCCATACCACCAAAGCCGTCGAACAAAGACTCGAACAAATCAAAGGCATTGCTAAAATCCTATGAATAAGGAACAATACGTCAAGATTACATGGGCAATATAACACTATTGCTAAATTTTCTCAAGAAGTAAGAAATTCTCACCCCCATGCCACCCATGCCAGCTCCTTTAAGGCCAGCCTCCCCGTATTTGTCATATATGGAACGTTTCTCGTCATCGGACAAAACCTATCGCAAAATAATATATGCCATAAGAAGTGATTGCAATATTCTTCCATCATGGTCATCACTTTTCAGTTACCTATTAAAAGCACATAAGGCACCAAGAGAAAGAAAACTACCTCATAAGCATTGCTGATCTCCTTAAATTTCTGTTCAGCTCCAGCTTCTCTACAACACGATGAACATGAATGCACATAAGGATCTTACTTACTGTAGAGATAAATACTACATTAACAATGACTGTGCACCTTCATATGAATATATACTTACACATGTCAATAGGAAACTAAAGCTTGTAAGTTACAACTAATAACACTTAATAGCAATCTTGAACATCTCACTTATATGTTTTTTTCAGAAGATACATTTCACTAGTAGCTGGTGTGACCTTTCCAGTAAAATGCTCCATAGCAATGTCATTTCTTTGGTCAGTTACAGTGATCAATGACCAAATACTTCAATTGTTATTGCAGTCCCGCCTTTCTTTTTACTAATCGAAAAAATAACCCTTAGATTTCATGGTTGGAATCATATGAATATGTTCTGCTAATTTCCGTGTATTTCAAACATATTGCAATATATACAACAACAACAACCACGCCTCAGTCCCAAACAAGTTGGGGTCAGCGATATGAATCTTCATTCCTTTCATTAAAGCTCAACTCATATCATCATCATCACCAAACTAAAATAAAGTGCAAGTAAAAAAAGATAATATATATAAAAATAATAATAATGATAATAATAACATCAACAGTAATAATAGAAGTTCTCTACCATGTCTAAAACCTATTCCCAACTAGTAGGTATCACCTATATAGATTTTCCTCTTCCATTGTGCTTTATCTATAACTAAGTCTGTATTGATTCCAAGGATTTGTAGGTCGACCTACAAATCCTTGGAATCACCGCAGACTTAGCTAGGTCAAAAGACCTACAAATCCTTGGGAATCAATGCAGACTTAGCTAAAGATAGTACACAACGGAAGAGGAAAATCCATATAGGTAAATTGGTAAAAAGCATGCTAGTAAAAAACAATTAGTGGCTTTTCATGTATAGTGACAAACAATAGTGTAAGGACACAATAATGTGGCTTTTCAAAAAAAGATGAGACAAATACAATGGCAATACCTCGCAGCAGCAAATTGCAGCATTTTCAGTATTTACCCTCTCAAAGATAAAAACACAACCTGGATTTTCTCTCTAGACAAGATCTGCTATTTAACGGTAAATTTCACATGTCCACTCCAAAATAACCAACCTAAGAAAATCTGAATGAAGTCCATCTTCCCCCATACTATACCTTAATCTCTGAACCTTCACTTTCTACTATTATTTTCCGCACCAAAGAAAGAAAAAAACAAAGTTGTAAAGAGGTCAATCATCTGATCTTGAGCAGGTAAACGTGATCCTTCGACAAGATACAGAAGAAAAATTTAAAGCTAGAGAAAAAGCTAAGTATGTACTACTCCATATCATCTTTCAACAACAAGACCACAGTAGAAGGCATCACATCTCAGATTTACAGGAACTATAAGCAAAATCTATGAAAGAATTCAATCAACTGATCTTGAATAGGTAAACATGACTCTTCAACAATATACAGAAGTAAAGTGAAAGCTAGAGAAAAGGCCAAATATGTACTACTTATACCATCTTTCAACAAAAAGACCACAGTAAAAGGCATCACATCAGAATTCCAGGAACTATACTCACTTGTTCACATCAGGATGATAACTCCTTGCAAGCTTTCGATATGCTAAAACAAGAAAAAAATGGAGAATTAGGAACATAACATGACAGCCAACAATGTACATTTTTCAACTACTTGGTTCTAAGAGCAACCTATAAATAGTTCTAAATTACAGTCACAATTCAAAGATACAAGTGATTAGCAGAAAATAGTTTGAGCATGTAAATGAAGGTGGTACTCACCACTTTTTATTTCTGACTTGCTAGCATTTTTAGATACACCAAGGACATTATAGTAATCCTGTGAAAGATGTAACAACATTGAACCAGCTTTACTATGCATATTTATTTACTAAGTCGCACACACACATAAATGTAACTCATATTCTGATCACAAAATCAAAATCTAAGAATGGGTTTTGCATAGCATCTTACTTTTTCAGCTCTAACAACTAATCGGGTCCCCCTTCGTTGATACCGATTCTTGCTTGACACTGAACTGAAAAGTGCTTGCAGGGAATCTTGACAAAAAAGGGTTGAACTTGGGGATGCCAATGCCCTTATCTTGCTTGAGAAACTGCATAGACGATAACAAGGTCAATAAGCGTGGACACATGCCAGGTAGATACGGGAGTCATCTCTTGAGGTAGAAAACATGCCAATTATCCATTAACTTCTTAAGAGGAAAAGGTACAATTTAGGAAAAGAATTTGAACTTGCGCCTAACAATAGGTAAGAAATCAATGTTCAATTATCTCTCTTATGTCATAAAGGCCGAAATAGCAAGTACGCGCTTATGTGCGTAAAAAGACAAGTCAAGTTCTAACGAGCATGGCTGATCAAATTACAGAGGGGCATCCTCCAAATGAGAACACATGAACGACATACTTCCCCTTACTTTTTGGATCAGCCATGGGATTGGGCTGGATCCATGTTTCATTTGTCTTTCATGCATAATTCATTAGGTAAGTGGGGGAACAATCACCTTCAAATTCACAGCCTACCTGAAATTTCGAGACATACTTAGAAAAATCACTAGTTCCCGATGTCTCTATTCAGAAGAGGACAACAAAGATTCTCTCTTGTCAAATTAAATTGCACCACCACTTACGTGAACTTTTAGCAAATAAAGTTTGGATGAATGACTTGACAACATGGCACATTCAGAGTTTGAAGATGTCAAAAATAATATATTAGGGAATAAGCTGTAATGTTAACCAGGCATTATAAAAAGATCAGCGCAAGAATGACTTGACAACCTATGAGAGTTTTAAAATGTTGAAAGGAGAATATTCGACAAAAGGGTGTGGGGTTTAACAGGTAGATACACAAAAAAATAACAAATATCAGTTGTCACAGCTAAAGTAGAAACATTTCCAGAAAATCCATAAAATTTCGAAAGAAAGCACAGTTCTTATACAACAAATAAGTGATTCGCATTCAAGAATGCCCAAGCATGACGCACCAAAATGGAGATGCTGTTAATTTATTGATAACATAAGATTTTGGCAGAAACTGAGGCTGAACTCCCCACTGGGCGACCCATGTGCTTCCACAAGGTATGATTGCCATCCAATATACTGCAAGTACATCAAGCATACATCCAATAAGTTTCATTGAGGAACACATTGCAAGTTAAAGTACAGCACTTAAAGCATTCTGAATTTCTTGATATAGAATAAAAAGGACAGATTTAATCTGCTAATCCACAAGAAGATGGGCAAAGCCGCAAAGGGGGAAAGATCCACCTTAATTTACAATAAGTGGAAGTGATTGAGATTCTATAGCTACGCACAGTCACACTAGCACAGTCGATTTGCTTACACAGTTTAACGAATAACGTAAATACAGATAGTAATCACCTAAGCAAAGAACAATTTGATATAGAAGAGCAGCCCTCCCCCACCCCATCTCACCCCCACCCACTAAAGTAAAACACTACTCTGCACCAATTCATGGTTATTTGTGGGAAAATAGAAATTAGATGTCATTTATCATACCCCATGGTTTGGATATAAACACTTTCCACATTGGTATATTTATTTATTAAGTAACAAATACAAGACGCCTAAAGAACAGGTATTAACACAGAATTAAATGGAAAAAAAAACACAAAATTAAACGCATAATCTAGTAAGCAAATAGGATAAAATTCAGTATGTTAGAGCAGAGCGTAGTAAACAGAACAGCAATTGTCAACCATACAAAAAGAAAGCGAATACGCATAGTGTGTTCCTTTATCTACGGCTTTACTCAATACAATTAGAGTACAATAACCTACAAAAGACTGAACTAGGTAGCGGACCTGTGACTGAGCTATTTGGCCGGAGCTCTGTGATAAATACGTGCAGCGAGTGGCCGCTGCGGCAACGAAGACGGCGGCGATAGTGTGGTGGTTGAGACTCGAGAGCAGTAATTGAGAAGTTATGCTTCTGGAAAGAGCGGAAGATGAGGCTCCGAAGAGAGGAGAGAGGAAAAGGGGTTTCGAGAATACCAACCTATCTGCAGTTATACCACTAGGCTTCAATAGTGGTTCGCTGTAAAAGGGCACATGTTAAACTTCTGTGTCTGCCTTACCAATTTAATAAATATCTGGCCCATTTTCGTAAATTATTATCTGAGATGAATTAGAAACGTGATTACTGGAGTAATATTTTACATAATAATTTTTTACATGTCACAGCTTATATATGATTCTAATTCTAAATCGAATTTAATATTATTTATTTTGCTATATATTTTTATATATAAGCAATATTAAATTATTTATGTATTTACAAATTTTAGTTTTATGATTTTCATCGGAAGATTATATGTGAAATTAGCGCAGCTAAACGCAATAATTGACTACCTTACTAATAATTGAAGAAATCTCATTAGGCCAGTTTTCTCTCCTTTTGCCTAGTTGAACTCAAAGTAATGGTGCGACCTGTATTGCATTAACTTGTATCATTCGGATTAAGAGTCCGTTTGGTCAAGCTGCCAAAAATTGCTTAGTTTGAAAAGTACTTTTTGTAATATATAAATTGTGTTTGGCCGATCTTTCTAAAAGTACTTTTAAGTGTCAAATTACCAAAATAGATAGTACCAAAGTCTTATAATTATTTTAAAGAGAAAAATAAACTTTAATATTTATCGTAAGAGACTTTTATTATTTTTGTTTTATTTAGTTAAAAAATAAAATATAAAGTAAACATACATATTAAAAATTTAAATCAATAAAACATATATAGTTATACCAAATCATATAGTATTATCTAGTATAATTACTTATTGTTTACATAATGATTTGAATAATCAAAATACATCATTCAGTATGAATTAGAAATATATTCCACCAATTACTATATATTGGTAATCCACCATGAAATAATAAGCAAGTCGCTCACACATGATAACATTTCTCAATAATTTTATCTCTAATTCTATCGCACAACGCCTCCATATTAGTAGAAGACTTGCCTTGCATTTCTAAAGGAATACCAGAAGACCCATCTCCTTCCTTAATCTCTGCAGTAATATCTTTATCAGCATAATAGTTGAATTCCTTATCGGTAGAAGAATATCGTCGGGTGAAATTTTGTATAGCTATGGTAGCTGTAACAAGATGATTCTAAGTGTCAAACTTGAAAGATGGCATTGAGAATAAAATAGAAATAATTTTAAATATATAAAAATTTATTGTTTTCGTAAAAAATTTAATTAAGTATGTTTAAATTCAAATTCAAAAAGAGTAACTAATTATTAACAACAAATAATGCATAATTTAAATTCAAAAAAATTAATTATTACCTAACCTAACTAACTTTGTCCTAAATTGCCAAGTGGCTTATTGTGAGGTTGCCACTTCGCTTAGTGTGGAGGCTTTTTCTTCTTTTTTTAATAATATATAAATTATGCGATGCAATTATAAATTTATTACCTATTTGTAGGTAATTTTCACAAATTAGATTTGATAACTGTTTTAAAAATTCGGGAATTAATAGCCTATAAGAGAAGAAATTATAAATGATTACTTGTAAGAAGATAATTGATAATCCAAAGAAGGACGTAAATAAAATTTACTTTAGTGTAGAAAAAGAAGAAGAAGAAGATTTGGAAAGTTACAAGACATTATTCAAAGAAAAAAGAAAAAACAAGAAAAGTCAATAGAGAATTTGGAAAGTTACAATATGATTCATGTATATGATATACTTAAATTTAAAAGAATGGTAAAAACTAAAAACAAAAATGAAAAAAAAAATCCTTAATCAATAAGGGATAATTGGAAAATATAAATTTATAGTGAGGATAGTTTTTGTAACAACCCGACCTATCGTTTTGAGTATTTGCATTTCGCTCGCCAGTTCTCGGACATGACTAGCCCCGTATGATGTATTACGACCTATGTAAATCGTCGGTTTTGGTTTTCAGGTTAATCGGAATAGATATGGAAGGATATTCTCAGCTTGAAGCTTTAAATTTGATAGGTTTGACTCAGTCTTGACTTTTTAGTATTCGATCTCGGATTTGGATTTTTATGATTTGGTTAACTCCGTCGGGTGATTTTGAACTTAGGAGCGTGTTCGGAATGTATTTTGGAGGCCCGTGGTAGATTTAGGCTTGAATTGGCGAAATTAGAATTTTGGCATTTTCCGGTTGGTAATGAAAATTTTGATATCGGGGTCGGAATGGAATTCCAACCATTGGAGTAGGTCCGTTGTGTCATTTGTGACGTGTGTGCAAAATTTCAGGTCATTCGGATGAGGTTTGATAGAGTTTTTGATCGTTTGCAGAATTAGGAAGTTTTGGAATCCTTAGGCTTGAATCTGAGGGTGATTTGGTGTTTCGGCGTTGTTTTGAGTGTTCCGAAGATTGGTATTAGTTTGAATGGTGATTAGTGACTTGTTTGTATGTTTGGATAAGGTCCCGGGGGCCTCGGATGATTTCGGATAGTTTTCGGAAAGGTTGAACTTGAGAAATTGCAGATGATGTTGTTGCTTCTGTCATATCCGCACCTGCGAATTGGGGACCGCAGGTGCGAGCTCCGTAGGAGCGGAGGAGAGACGCAGGTGCGTGGAGGACCGCAGGTGCGGCTTGGTAACCGCATCTGTGATGCCGCAGAAGCGGTGAGGCGACCGCAGATGCTAGGCCTGGTGAGATAAGTGAAATTCGTAGAAGCGGAAGCGCAGGTGAGCTTATAGGATCGTAGGTGCGAGAGTGCTGGGCAGAGAGTATAAAAAGGCCCCTTCGCGATTTTCAGTCATTTGTTCATCATTTTTTGTGCGATTTTGGAGCTCCAAGCTGTGATTTCAAGAGGGAATCAAGCGTTGATAGAGAGGTTAGCTATTTGGGCTTTATATCTTGTGTTTATGGTGATTATTTCATTGTTTAATCATGAAAATTAGTGGGAAAAATTAGAGAAAGAGTTGGGAAATTAGGGCTTGAAATTGGAGAGTTAAATTGGGGATTTGAGGGGCCATTTGAGTTCCGATTTTGATGATCTTGGTATGTGTAGACTCGTGAGAGTGTGAGGATCCTACTTTTGTGATTTTTATCGGAATCCGAGACGTGGGCCCGGGGGTTGGGTTTGGTCAATTTCGGAATTTTGGGTTTAATTTGATTATTTTCGCTTGGGCTTTGTTCCTCTAGCGCGTATTAATGGTATGGATCTGGTTTTGGTAAGACTTGGAGCATTTAGAGGCAGATTCGAGAGGCAAGGGTATCGCGGGCTAGAATTTGGACCAGATTGAGGTAAGTAATGATTGTAAATGTTGTTCTGAGGGTATGAAACCCCGGATTTCACATCGTTGTGCTATATTGAGGTGACGCACACGCTAGATGACGAGCGTAGGATCGTGCACCGTTGGGGATTGTGACTTGGTCCATCCCGTACGACTATTAAGTCACGTATTTAATTGGAAACTGTTTGTTATTATTATATTTTGGAAAGTATTACTACATTTGGGGCTGAATACCATGTTTGGGCCTTGAGCTGACTGTCTTGGACCCTTAGGGGCTTTTTACTATTATTCCTCACTGTTTTGACTTCATACTTGTACTTAGTCATGTTGTATTCTACTGTTTTTCATAACTCAGCCGTATTTACTCTGTTTTAATATTTTAAATGATATTTTGGGCTGAGCATCATGTTATACTGTTGCCCGAGGGGCTTGAGAGATTTCTGACTGAGTAAGGCCGAGGGCCTGTGTTGTGAGGATGTTATGGGATCGGGCTGCGCGCCGCAACGTGTTACACTGACTTGTGATATATGAGAGGCCGAGGGCCTGATTTGTTATGCCACGAGATGGCTTGTGATAGCCCTTGGGCCGTAGGAGCCCCTCCGGAGTCTGTACACCCCCAATGAGCGCGGGTACCCAGTGTGATATGTGATATTGCCCGAGGGGCTCTATCACAACTACACCTACAACTACACCGTTAGTTCCCCGGCAACGGCGCCAAAATTTGATCACGCCCAACTATGCCTTATAAAAAGGAATAAGCGGTCGTTGCAAATATAATCCGGTTTACAAGTCCGGAGTCGAATCCCACAGAGAACTAAGGCTTAGCTATAGTTGTTCAATATCGCTAAGAAACACAGGTCCAAACAATATTCTAATTATAAAGATTATAATATTTATTTTTATCTAATTAACTAACAAATCTAGAAAGCCGTAAAACTATCAATTAACAAGGATAAGGATTGGAGTCAAGATTAAGGAGGTCTAGAGTTATGATTTCCCCAATTGTCGGAATCCTTCCCACTACGTTTTCTATAAATTCGCCTAAGTATTCTCTTACCGATCATGAGCGCTCTGACTGCTGCAACTCTCTCTCGAGTAATTACCACAATTTACTAGACGCACTCTCCCGAGTTACGCTAGCTAGCTTTGTTTATTACAGCTCACTTTAGATTGCACCCAAGGCTTCGTTATCCCTAATCCCGCCTTTAAACCCGCAGTTATAGATCCCTCTTATACTTTGGGAGTGGTGTTGTTCAACAACTACCTAAATATGTACTCTCTCCCGAGTTATGCACACTAAATAGGCACAGCTAATTGAGGATCCTGTCAATTAACTACAACAAACACGTAGTTGAACAAATAGAGAAAATACTACGGCTCAATTATATAAAAATAACAAGAATTTATCCTACAAAAGGTTCCATCG